TTGAATGTAGAAGTCGATATTTTATATGCTGTGGAGAATAATTCAAACTTAAGTACACGAATGGCTAAAATGGTTGAAATGTCGAAAAACGTTTTTCGTGGAACATTTCGGGACAACTTCTACATTCATATAGCCGGAAAAAACCCTGGAAAAAATTGTTTTTATTCGACTCACCACAGTTAGGGGAACTAGTTTTGTATAAGTCCTTGTACGCTGGAGGTTCTAATTGTTAATAATCTAATAAAAAAACCTTTAAAAAACCTGCGGAATTCTATCCATTTCCTCAACTTCTTACATTTATGAGTAGGTTGATATCGATATATAAATAATTCATACTTTGGATATGTATATGGCAAGTTGGCATACACTCGGTGTGGCAAATAACTATATGCATCGTTTAAAAATGTTGTTAATTAACGCTCGTTTATATAAGGGAATGTCGAACTTAATGCTTCTAGCCGCGTATTGCTCGCGTACCTGACCTATTTCCTGTCGATTTTCAGTTGCTTTCGAAGGTGATTCACTTGTTTGTCTCGGCGGCTTCTTATACCGTGTTTGTTCACTTGACCCCGAAATATTTCACTGCAGGTATTTTATAAGGAAATGTTCGGTGTTTGTAAATTGAGTGCGTGTGCGTCTCTATACTAACCATACAAATCTTAATGTTCATCGTTTTGTTGTCGTATTACGCTATTAGATTATTCGTTTTGGTTTTTGTTTAATGTATTTATCTTTTTATTACATAATTTATAAACTAAAGTTAGAGCGGTAGTGATAAAGTACAAAGAAACGAGTTCGTGGATACAAATTTTCTTTTTTTTTTTTTTTTTTTAAGTCATTAAGTGATTGAGTAGGAATCTGGGGCCAGTCATATTTAAAGAATTTGTATTTCACGTTTGTGATTAATGTTTGGAATAGTGCTTGGCGGTTTAATAGTCTAGGAGCCAGGGGGGTTGAATGTGCACTTATTCTGTAGGTACCCTGACGTTTTTTTATGTTTTTTGGTGCGTAGATTCGATTTTTCGAGAGTACTAGGTTGAAAACCTGTTAGATAATTTGTTACTAACAATTTAATTGTGTAAATGATTGTATCGCCTAAATTATTAGAGACATTTAGTTTTACCAAAATAAAAATTGTTCCTTTTGAAAAAATGAACAAAATTCCGTTTGGTAAACTTTGATTCGATTGTTAGAACCGGAGTTTGGAGATGAAAATTCGTGAAAATACTTGTGAAATAGGCATTCGATGTGGTTTTTCCAAGTATAACTCCCTATCCTTACCAGGTAGGCTCTGAAAGAGCCCTGCCCAGTAAGGAACTGTGTGAAGAAGTAGTCATTCTCCCTATGGCAGTGTCGCACGTCTCTCACGTACAGTATGACGTGATGTTTTTATACATTCAGCTCTATGTTCGCTTTTCGGACGTGTACGAACTCATCACTTTATAGCCCGCCATAAAATTATTAGACCCTCCGATATATTATAGTAAACTGATCACCGTCATCCTTTGGAGATAGGTAAACTCACCACCAGAATTTTTGCCCCAAGGTGCTGATTTCTAATGCAGAAAATTGCCAGTTACCTGTTACATTTCTCGTGTATGTAATAAATTATTATATTTTTACGGTGTTGCCTATTCGACATATTTGCCAATCTAAACGGTTTTGAGATCTGAAAATTCTGTTGCATAGGTTTTTGATAGTGACTTTATAATGAAAATATTTATGAGCATATGCTGTTTCCGTTTATACCGGAAATAGTCCTTAACTTAATAACTAATTACAAATCTATTTATTGTGACAGAATAAATCAAAATGCTTAAGTACAGTCTCCTGGCTTTTATAAACGGTCAAAGCCTACTGGAAGAAATATTCTGTGAATACAGGACAGGTAAGTACATGTAAACTCTGCAGTTTTATGAACACCATTGTTTAGTACTGTAGAAGCTTAGATACAAAAGTGACGATATTGAGATGAGAATGGTAAAAATGGTTGCAAAATGAGAATGAAAGGATTCGCATGGATTTGTGGTGAAATGTATATGGCTAGACTGTTATCCCTCTAAAAGAGACTCATTACTTACGTAGTTCTCTACCATATGATCGGCCATTTTCATAAATGATGGCATGATGGATGAATTCGTTGACAAAACAATCGCCGACTCGCTCTGGGTGCAAAAATGGCCAACCAAATAAGTGGTGCAGCCATTTGCTGTTGGAATCTCCCCTTTTGTAAGTGGTTACCAAACCAAGATTTTGGATTTTGCGAAACCAACTTTGAGTCGAGTAAAATAAACACCCAATTCGGTTCACAGATCGTCGAACAGCAATTACGAAATCAGCCATAAGTATTAATGGACACGAACTTCTTCGTAGCAACGAATTAATTGAGTAATTCCCATTGATGGTAAATAATTACAAGAAAAATTTTGTAGCGTATTAAAATGTACGATCCAAATAATCTGCCTCTGCTTGCGCCAAGTATCGTAAATTCTCAATAATTTTAGATTCATCTGTTGGATTGCTTGATGCGCTTTCCCATTGTCTTAGGTACAGGTGAGTTAAAAGAAAAATGATCGTTGCTCACATTCCTCCTAATACAAGAGATTTCCGTTGTTGTCATTTGTTCTTTGAAAGAAGAAGTTGTAATCTTTTGTCGAATGATTTGTGACGGCCTCCATTAAGTCTTCTTGAGCTTTCATCTTGCAGGATTTGCTGATGACTTGACTGCTTAGTTTTCGAAGGTGGCTTACTTGATTCTGTCCCAAGATGCAGTGCAGAATATTTTCCGCAACTAAAATAATTAAAGAAATTAATTGTTTAATAAGTTTTTTCAGATTTTTACGTTTCGTGTGAAAAATTACTTGACTGAATTATAAAAAATGATACATTTACGGTTAAGTCAAATAAATATTTAGATCTTTAGCTGGTAGTGCAAAACTTATTATAAGAGTACAATCGCAATTCTACACAGAAATTAGTTATTTATACTAAATGATTTTCCAATCCTGACACTTTGAATTTTTATTAAAAATATCTAGCAAGAGAAATGTAGACTATTTCTTATCTTAACAAACTGTAAAGAACAGTATTGACATACATTTGCGTTTCATTCTACCACCGTTTACGAAACATAGAAATTGTGTCATGTAAGAAAAATAGCGAAGTTATCTAGAATTATGACCAAAACTTGTTTTCGGGTATACAAGATATTGCATGTGGTATGATTTAGGTAGTTTTTATAGAACACCATCCTCAATATTACACCGATTCGCACTTATGTATTGTTATTTCCGTACTTTTCTAAAATGGATAATGCATAAGTAACACATAATATACATATTTTATATACATACTTTGATTTGTATCTAATTGAAATTTGAAATAATTGATATCTTTAATCGGTTTTTTTTTTTCACAGCATATATTATGTGTTCACTGAAGCTCTGTTTGGTGTCCAGTATTACACCCAGATATTTGACTTTCTTGGCAGGGAGGATATTTTCTCCCTTTAAATAAATTAATATAACAAGGTGTTTTTAAAAGCCGAAACAATTACCTTTCAAATGAGAGGGTTTTGAGTTAATCGCACTTATGAAAGCTGAGTTAAACTTGGAATACCCCACCGAATGCCTATTTTGCAATCAAAGAGTGAAATTCTCAAGTATTTATTTTGTTTGTTTATTTATACCAAAAAATCTGTTTATAACAAAACGAAAAACTTAATCTAAAAGTATAATAATAAAATAATAATAAAAAAACGAAAGAAGAAATTTTTTTTATAGGAAAAGGATGTGCCCACCTTCTTTTCTTCAGTAACAGGATGGAATATATCATTATTTTGCATGTTAGAGTTTTCAGCAGGATCCTCTTGTGCACTTCCAACTAGTCCTAGTAAATTTTTATAGAGCTTTGTTTTCGGGTTTCATTATCACTAATTTAATTTTTTTCAAAATATTTAGCGTCTTGTCTTTTTTAAAATGTTTCACGCCATGATTCAAATTCTGAAAATGAATGGCCGGTTTTGAACTGACTTGCTAACTTGTAACTTAGTGGTTTTACTATTTTCTCAGCAGCCTCTTTGATGTACCAGAAACCAAAGCTTTTTATGTCGATAACATCGAAAGTTGGAGTGTATCTTGCGGAAGTATTCACGTTCATCAAATCCTCCGACAGGAATGCTCTCATAGTTTTTTTTTCGTTTTTCTATTAGGGTGAAATCCCTGTCACAAGGCATAAAACTGTGGCCGCTTACCAAAAATCTGCTCTATAGAATCGTATACGCCAGTAGAAACAAAAAACATTAATACAAACAAAATAAATTAATTTTTATTTTAGCCACCACAGTTGTCACTCCAACTTATGATGTTCTTCTTGTTAGTATAGGCTCTAATTAAGAAACGTAACAGGCACGACGCAATTTCGTTTGCGCCACGTCTCGAGAATACTTCGTGCCATAGGAACATGGAGGCAATATTTGTGTCCTAATGTGCTTGAGTAATTCTTTTGCCTTTTTGACTTTTCTTTGGTGAAGTTCTAGGTTACATTTTGACTGATGGCTACTAATTTTGTTTTAACGGATTTCACAGTACTATCTATCACACGTGTATCCATTCGAGGATGTCGAAAAGACAAATTTGGAAATTTGCGTGTGAAAACAGATCTATAGAATTTATGTTCCTTTAATATCTGGATATCGCTCTTGATAAGCTCTGAACAGTCTATTAATATTCAAGTACGGGCTTAGGTATTCTTTACTGGATTTTCATCGAGGGGTATTGAATTAATGTGCTCCTTTATAGCACACCGAGATTTTTATGAGACGTCCTATTATCCGAGGAAGAAGTTTCACCTGTTTTTTTTTATTTTCAAAAACTTTCAGCTTTTTCCTTGTTACAGCAAAGGTATTCATGAATGTATTCTTACACACTTGAGCAAAGGCTCCATCTTCATTGGGTACTATGTAGCTTACTGTCGTTTGACGTCTACTATCTTCCGGAACCTCATAGGTACCATGTTGGCACCTCCTTCTCCGCAGGAACTGTATACCTAAGACCCAACTTTTCAAACAAGGATTTTCTCCAGCGATAACTGATGCACTTACAAATCACCTAAAAATAAAAAATATATAAAGTCAGACAGTGTGCAACATGATAGGTTATGTTACAAACCTCCTGTGTTGGCAACGGTTTTGCTGTTATATCTTTACGTTTTCTATTTTTATATGCTTTGCCAGAATCCGTAAGTTGTGTTTGTTCCTTACCAAAGCTGCCAGTACCATTACTTCTTCGGGTTTTCACTTCACTCATTGCAACACACTGTACTCTTTAATCACAACAACATTAATAATAATAAATTTGACAGTCTGGTACATAACTCAGTCTGTTGCTTCGTAAAGCAACAGGTAAGGCACATACCGCTGGCGCCATTTTACAGTCACTATACAAAGTTTAGTATTAGGAATGGTACCTATGGCCTTTGTTACGACGTTGAGCATGGCACATACAACCTTTCTATGGCAATAAAAGTTTTGGCACTTAGCACCTAAACTTCCACTCTTCAATAGCTTTTCACGAAATTTGTTAGAATTCCGGTTCGAAAAATCGTATCAAAGTTTACCAAACGCCATTTTGTTCTTTTTTTTTTTTTTAAAGACAACAATTTGGATTGTGGTAAAATTAAATATCTTTAATAGTTTAGGAGATACAATAATTTAAACAATTAAGTTGTTAATACTAGGTACTGAGTACAAACCCCTCGTGGCTCCTGGACTATAATCACTCGATTAAATAAATTTATTTCTTGTTTCTTATTCATTACCTACTCTCAACTATTTCTCCACCAATAAAATAAAAGAAAGCAATATTTTTCTCGTTGTTATCATGGCTTTTATATCCCACAAAAAAATAAAGAAAAATGCCACTGAGTAAAGTTATAATTACTTTTAGCAAATACAATTTTAAATTAACTAAAACGAAACATTTGCAGTTGTAATTAAGAAATAATTTTTTGTTAAACTACAAATAAAAACATGTATTTTCTGTTTTAATTTTAGTTTCATGTTTACAGAACGATTACTGAGCCGTGACGACCTTCAAAATTGTTCCATATCCCATTAAACCCATTAATTTTAATCTGTGTAGGTCGTCGACAAAATCGCAAATACCGGTTATGGGTAAATTTTTATCACCTGCAATAAACAACATTCGAAACCGACTTGTTTTTAACAGGTGGATTGAACATTAGTCTGGTGTCAGAAGTTTCTTTTTTTACAGTAATGTAAAAATGGGTCGCGTTTTGCATTAGCTTAAACGAAGGTAGGTTTGCAGTAAAAATTGAATTCTCCTTAAAATAATTGACATATTTAAGGTAAATAATAATAATTATAGACGACTGGAGGATTTTATCTATTATTTTTGCTAAGTAGTTCGTTCCTTTGTCATCATCAGCGTGTGCGATCCGGCCGTACAGGTCATTATGAGCTGAATATTTCTTTTAAACAATCCTCGATTTTCTCCGTTACTGTTCTCCGTCGTGTAAATCCAATAGAGTTTAATTATTCATCCTTCAAGTTTTTAAGGAATCTGTTTCGGGCATCTCCTGTTTCGTCGTCCCACCGGTTCCCTTCAAAAGGTCCTGTTCTGTTGTCAAAGCCGATATCTGAGTTGTGCTATCGTAATAAATTTTAATATCGAAATATCGGAAAATACCGAAATATTTGTCCTTTTATTCAATCGCATTTATGATACAGGTAAAATACCCCAAGATTGGCTGGAGTCAATATTCATCCAACTACCAAAAAAGCTAAACTCACAACACTGCAATGAGTTCCGTCTGATAAGCCTTACGAGTCATGCAGTAAAAGTCCTACTAAAAATCGTGCATAATCGTATCTATAGAAAGTGCGAAACAATCATCGGAGACGATCAGTTTGGATTCAGAGCCGGCATGGGAACGAGAGAAGCCCTGTTCAGTTTACTAGTTCTCGCCCAAAAATGCTACGACCAACAGAAAGATATATTTATATGCTTTATAGACTTCGAAAAAGCATTTGATAGAGTAAGACACGACCTACTATTAGAACGTTTGCAAGAAGTCGGTTTAGATGGAAAAGACATCAAATTCTTAAAAAACTTGTACTGGAACCAAAACGCCAGAGTTAGGATCGAAGGTTCCACATCCGCAGAAGTAGAAATTAAGAGGGGAGTTAGACAAGGATGTGTTCTTTCGCCTCTGCTGTTTAATCTTTACTCCGAGTTTCTATTTAAAGAAGCATTGGAGGATTCCAAGGATGGAGTCAATGTGAATGGCGTAAATATCAACAGTATCAGATACGCCGATGATACAGTGTTAATTGCGGATTCCGACTTAGGTCTACAACGACTCATCGACAAGACCAACTCGACCTGTGAGCAATTTGGTATGAAAATAAACATTTAAAAAAAACCAAAGTGATCTCAATCCGAAAAAACCAAAATGTACCTCAACCTTGCACAATAAATGGGCACATTTTAGAACAGGTCAATAGATTTAAGTACCTGGGATGTTGGATCGATAGCAGCCTAAATCCTGATCTAGAAATAAGATCGAGAATAGAACAGGCCAGAAAATCTTTCGAAAAAATAAAAAAACTGCTTTGTGATTCTCGAATAAAACTCGAAATTCGACTACGTTTATCAAAATGCTACGTCTGGTCGACTCTTCTATATGCAGTTGAAACGTGGACCCTTAAACCATCAACCGTAAATAAATTGGAGGCCTTTGAAATGTGGATCTACCGGAGAATACTCAAAATTTCATGGACATCGCATACCTCAAACGAGGAAGTGCTGCATAGAATAGGCAAGAAAAGAGAACTTTTTAACACAGTAAAAGTTAGAAAAACATCATACTTAGGCCACATACTGAGAAATAATAAGTACCAATATGCCCAACTTATAGTGAAAGGAAAAATCGAGGGAAAGAGAGGCCTAGGAAGGAAAAGACTATCGTGGCTCAGAAACATCCGACAATGGACAGGGCTAAATTTTGAACAGCTAATAAGAACAGCTGAAGATAGAGAAGAGTTTAAAATTGTAGTAGCCAACCTCCATTAAGGAGAGGGCACTTTAAGAAGAAGAATAAATTTTGCATCAGGTTCCACAAAACTTCTGTACAACTCAAAAATGATAACGCGTGCGTCACAATGCTTGTTTAAGTTAAGCAGTTCTTCGTGATGTGTCGAAGCGTTCAGGTTCATACGCTAATAATATCCTGTTAGTTGAAAAAGCTGCAGCGGTATTTTAAATTCAACCAAGCGGAACAGTTTTTGTCCATGCTCTGTGTTTATTTGAAGCTTTAAGCCGAAAGATTCGCTGATATCTCCTCATATTCGTTCGGTGTAAAGAAGCAATTTATTGTGCAAATTACAGATACATTTGAGATTATTTTATGTGCCATGTTGTAACGATTATTTTGCCTACCACATAGGGTATTACTATAAGGGGATGGAAATTGGGGACAGAAATTATTGGGGTAAAGATAGGGTAAGCAAAATAAACCGAAACTTTGGCGAACGGCCACTCAGGGTTTATTTGGACAGCTGGGGTCATGGATAAGTGAATAACAAGGGGACTGAAATGGGGTAACTACAGAAAGCAAAGAAAAAGGGGTGCTTACATGAATCTCCCAGACCAAAACACAATACAAGAAGGTTCTCAAGCTATTTAAAATAAGGACACCGCTTGGAAGAATTTTCCTGTTGGATGAAAGAAAGGCTCTTCCTTGCTAAAAAATACAAAAAGGGGTTAGAAACTTTTTAAAAGAAATAAATACTCTTTTTTTTTAGGGAAAAAATTACACATTTATTGTTGTCTGACCACAAACAGTTACAACTATAAATAGTACAAAAAATACCATATAAATAGTTACAAAAATAAATACCAAACAATAAAGAAACAAACTTACTAATGTTCTATTCGTTTACAAACTCTAGAAGTTGGAGATACTACAAAAGCTTACAATTTTTAATGGGCGATAATTTGTAACGGAAAAAAGTGGAAATGTAAAATAGCTTTTTAAATGAAACTATGCATAGAGGTTAACCTTTTTTAAAAAAACAAAAACAAAACAAGACCTCAATTATAATTTTACTGATTACAATTTTTTAACCTGTTATGAAAGATTTATGACACATGTCTATTTTACGTTAAAAGTTCAACAAAAAAAGTTACCTGGATTTCTCTAAATGTTATTTTTACCTCTTTAAAATTTCTGAAGTTGGGGCTGGACTTACACTGCAAACACAAACAAATGCATCTCCAAACTGCAAAGATTGTCTGAAATGGCTTAGGACAAACAAAATGAGGCTGGAATTTGTTCACTGTACGCAAACTTTGAAACTCGGCTTCTTAAAAACTCGAATACTGGAATGCAACTGAAAACATGTGGTTATCCTTCAAACTTGTTATAAACGCCGCTTTACAAATTTCTCAGATGAGAGATGACATAAAAACAAAAACACAGTAATTACTCTTTCAAAACTGACACATTACATTGAGTATAATTCACTTTTTTCAACCAATTTGCCGCCTTCTTAACGCCGACACTCGCCGCGTCTTGTCTCAAGAAAATCTCTTCCAAACCTCTTTAGCTGCACAATTAACTGCTACAAAACTAGTTATTTTCCATAACAAAAGACGAAAAACGAAAAATTACGAATTTGAAGAAAAAATCGCACTTCAATAAAATTAAACGACTTTAACAGCGGCCGGCCTTACCGAGAGTGAGTAATTTTTAAAAATCATTCGCCCAACTCGGTCAAAACAAAACATATACGGTTAGATTCCTATTAATTTGACGCGCATTGTATCCTAAAGTGGCTTTCGATCAAAGAATACCGAAGTAATACCCATCTGTGATATATAAACAAACTTTAAAATGTGTTTATTATTAACTCCAGCGATGCAATGGGATTGAAAATACTTTTTTGGTGTTTTAACTTAAACAAGGTTATTTGAAATGCAACAATGTTGAGCAGTTAAATAATTCTATGTATAATTATTACCCAACATCATGTCTCCTATCTGAAGTGTACACAGTATTATATCTAGTTTTCAGTCTGTTTCAGATGTTATAAAGAGTTGGACATGAAGATTATTAGTGCTGGAGGTTTTGTCATTCTTTACTTTTAATATAGGATCAGTTTCTACTCGTAATAGAGGAGGGAACCTCTATCGAATTTTGTTTTTGATTAAAACGTGATTTGCTCATATGTTTAATATATGTTAAATTACTGATTCTATATCCACCTTCTTTTATAATCCATTATTCTAGGTGTAGTACGT